ATAAGATAGTCCATTTTCTGATGGCCTCCTATTTCCTTGGACTAAACCGATTCAGTCTCTTTCCTATTCCCCTCCTAAGCTGTTTTTCTCACATCTTATTCCATCTTGTGTTGTGAGTTTGTGATTAAAATGACAAGATTATCTTTGTTTATTGTGTTTTCCTTCTCTGTATCTTTAATGCTATTCTTGAGTGTTTGCTAACTTGTTCTGATGTATAGCTGCAAATTTCTGTTTTTATTCCATTCTTTGTAACCCTTTCTCCCTTTTTTTTTTCCAGATATGAGGACCTTCTTGAGGATTTCTTGTAGGAGGGGGTCTTGTGGCTATGAACTCCCTTAGCTTTTGTTTATCTGGGAAAGTTTTAATTTCTCCATCATATCTGAAGGATATTTTTGCTGGATATAGTATTCTTGGCTTAAAGTTTTTGTCCTTCAGAGATTTGAATATGTCATTCCAGTCTCTCCTAGTCTGTAAGGTTTCTGCAGAGAAATCTGCCGAAAGCCTGATAGGGGTTCCCTTGTAGGTTATTTTCTTTTGCCTTGCTGCCCTTAGTATTCTTTCTTTGTCATTCACTTTTGCCAGTTTCACTACTATATGCATTGCAGTAGGTCTTTTTACATTGACATATTTAAGAGATCTGGCAGCCTATTCCACATGGATTTCCATCTACTTCCCTAGGTTTCAGAATTTCTCTTCTATTATTTCTTTCTTTCTTTTTTTTTTAAGATTGGCAGCTGAGCTAGCAACTGTTGCCAATCCTATTTCTTTTTCTGCTTTTTCTCCCCACATCCCCCCAGTACATAGTTGTACATTTTAGTTGTGGGTCCTTCTAGTTGTGGCATGTGGGATGCTGCTTCAGCATGGCATGATGAGTGGTGCTATGTTCGTGCCCAGGATCCAAACCAGTGAAACACTGGGCTGCTGAAATGGAGCGCACGAACTTAACCAGTCAACCACGGGGCCAGCCCCTCTGCTATTATTTCTTTGATTAAGCTTTCTGCTCCCTTCTCCTTTTCTTCTCCCTCTTGAATACCTATAATTCTTATACTGCATTTCCTAATTGAGTTGGATATTTCTTGGAGACTTTCTTTATTTCTTTTTAGCCTTAGTTCTCTCTCCTGCTCCATCTGGAGTGTTTCAACCATCTATCCTCAGTTATGCTGATTTGCTCCTCTATGATGTTAGCTTGAGTGTTTGGGGAGTCTATATTTTGTTTTATCTCTTCCATTGTGTCTTTCATATCCAATATTTCTGATTGATTCTTCTTTATAGTTTCAATCTCTTTTGTTAAGTAGCTCCAGAACTTGTTGAGTTGTTTTTCTACATTCTCTTTTAACTCGTTAAGTTTTTTGATGATAGCTATTTTGAATTCTCCCTCATTTAGATTACATACTCTGTGTCCTCAGGACTGATTTCTGGGTACTTGTCATTTTCTCACTAGTCTGGAGAGCTAATATAATGTTTGATATTCCCAGAGGGTATGGCTCTGTTTTTGTGCATCCTGGTATTATTTGGTCGCAGTTACTGCGTATCACCACTGGGTGGGGGTCAAGAGCTATGTCTTCTGAGCCCTCTGCTGTCTGCCAAGATCCCAGGTACTGGAGCCAGCGCTGGGCAGATGAGGGGGAGGGATGCTTTCTCCTGCATGCTCTCAGGGTTTTCTCACTCTGCCCTCACTATCTGCTCTCCTGCGGTGTTGGCCTGCTGAGGTCACCCCTGCATTAGCTTTCACCTTGGTAAGGGTTTTCCCTTAGGCTGCAAGGGCCCTCAGCCATCTTTGATGTTCTCGCGAACAAATGTCCCCTCCCCTGTTCCTTCCCTCTTGGAGGCTACCCATGGTCCTGGATCCCAGTCTTTTGGGGAGGGAGCGAAGTTTTGTCTCACCCTTTTCCACCTCCTCTGAATGGGGCTCCAGCCTCTCCACCCTCCATCATATGGCTGCATGGGTCTCTCAGATGTCTTTTGGGTTGTGTGGATGTCCTCTGTTGGAGGATGAATGTCTTTTTCATCGTATGGTAGAGGAGAGAGGTCATCGGAGAACTCACTCTACCATGGTGCTGACGTCACTCCTGATTTCCTATCTTTTTATTCATTGTGGGAAGAATATATGCTTTAAAATTCTGGTAGCCAGTTCCAGCATCTGATCCATCTTAGGGCTGGACTCAATTGATTTTCTTTTCTTTTGAAAGACATTTAGTTCTAGTTCATTCCAGGCACTGCGTTCCCCAAACCAGGGATATAAATTATTGGCTGTTAAAGCAAAGCAAAACAAAACAAACAGCAACAACAAACTAAGGACTCATCAGAGAATAAATAACAGAATCCAGAAGCATCACAACCTGACGTATTTAACAGCAGGACACAATCTAAAATTCCTCAACATGCTCAAAACAACAAAACTGGCGGTTGTAGAGGGAGGGGAGCAGAAAGTTTGGTCTCTGTGCAGATATTTTTTCTTTAGCTGAACTGCTTTGAGTGTTCTGTCCATGGTTTGTTCAGGGGTCAGTAAGAGATGTGACCAGAATTTGGGGATCTCCTCTTTGTTTTTTTTTTTTCTGGGAGCTCTCTACCTCTTCAGTAGCCAGATATTCCCCAGCTTCAGTTTTATGGTTCTCCTAGCCAGAAATGCTGTTCCTTTCCCACCTGTTCACATGTGCTGTGTGGACTCCTTCAGCCCCAGGCTAAAAGGGAACTAACTTTGTTGACACCCCTCCTCCTGTGTGCACTTGCTACGAGGGTCTGTCTGCTCCTCTTCATTCTCCAGTGCCTTCATGTCGTATGAGCAGGTTTTAGTTCTTTTCTGTGTGGTAGTCATTTGGTGTGGTCTTCCTCTGTCACTACCAAAAGGAAAATCTGTATAGTTTCTCTCTAAAAAGATGGTTTATGTTATAAAATATGTGTTTCCTTTTCAGAACTGAGACTAAAAAGCATGCTAATGAGCTGACAAATTTAATAAGAAAACCCATCTATTACCAAATAAAATCTGATGCAATTTTAGGATAGCCTTTTGTTGATTGTCATTTGTTTATCTTTCAGACTTTATGTCACTCTCCCATCATGAAATTACACTTTATAATTTTCCAAGACGCCACAGAAAAAAAATAGTGACATTGGGAGAGCATTAAAAAAGAGAGCAGTGGTGCTTTGGAGTTCTTGGAGTGATTTTTCTGATAGGTTTAAGTGAATTGCCAAGCAAAAGATTTATTTTTTCAGACATTCTGGACTTCTTATATAAATAGTAAAATAATTTAAACTGATTTTATTAACTGTCAGTGATGTAGTTGTTTCTGGGTCTCACCTGTCAAGAAAACTCTTTCAGGAACAATTAAAAAATTGTATTTCTATCTAAATGGTATATCAGAGTTTAGATGTCACAATGAGAGTATTTGTCATTGAAGTGCCATCGAAGTAACAATGCATGTTCAATCTGATTGCTTTATGTCTTTTCTTTGTTTAGCAGCATTAATTTGAATGGAGTAAGATAACTTTTCTTCCTTTAAAGCAATGTTATATAAAAAATCTACTTGAATAGTAGATGCATTTAAATAAAAGGTTTGAAGCCTTTATATTTAGAAACCCAAGTTGGCAAGTTTTATATCAAGACCCTGTTTTAAGAGTAGTATAAATTGAAACGTAAGTCTGAAGCAAAAGTATCCAAAGGGTTTCTCCTTTGATTTATTCCAAGGAGTCTCTCTCTAATTGCACAGAAATGGGGTGAAAGTAAACGTACTCAAAAGAAGGATTATCTTTCTCAGCATCTGTGGATTTTAGGGGCTCACGTGGCCTCTTTGTGGACAGATAACTCTTTTAGGATAAGGGAGTAAGACTTGAAGTAAAACAGGATACTGTTGGACAAATAAAGTTAACTAAAACAACAATCTTTAAGGAAGAAGTGTCCTTAAAAAATGTTTTCTCTAGTGTGCACATTCTTAGCATTATACATGTGATGTATGACAGTACACACGTTCAGTTACCAATTGAATCAATTATTCGTTGATTCATTCATTCAATAATTACTTGAATGACTCCCATGTGCCAAGGTAGCAGGTACTGTGCCAAGTGGGAAAAAAATGTGAAATGATAGTCCTTTCCCTTAAAAAAATTAGGATCTAGTAGAAAGCAAGATGAGAAGGGAAGGAAGCTGACATACTGAACTTGACCCTATGCTCTGCATTCCTATGTACTTAATTGCCGTTAACCATCTAAAATTCCCCTGCAGACCTGGGAGAAAGCTGCTGTATTGAAGAGACTGCATGGAGTCCTGCATAAAAGTCATGGCCCGGTTTCAAATCTTAGGTCTTACCCTCTCTGTGCCTCAGTTTCCCTCTGTAAAATAAAGATGATGTTGGCACCCACCTCGCAGGTCTGTCATGTGGATTGATGCAAGGGTACAGGGGCTGTGTTCAGAACATTGCCTGCACATAGTAGGTGATCCTGTCACAGTGACGATTACTGTCATCCCCACTTGTTGATGAGAAATCTCTTCCCAGGCAATAGTTAGTGAGTAGCAGGAGCAAAGATTCGAATCCAGATCCACCTAACACAGTCTTGGAAATTCTCACAAAACAATTCTATCTCCCCCAAATAAAATAATTCTGCTCATGTCTCAAGAGAGGAAAATAAATTCACATTTCTGGATGGAAACCAGACCCCAAAGGATAGAAGATAAAGCTCAGTCGTGACACCTTAGGTCGCTCACCCTCTTTACCTTCTTTCCTTGTTAATGTTATTGCAAATCAGCGGGAGGCTTGCTGCCTTTGGTGTTAAAGATACTGAGGAATATCAAGTTGTGTGAGACACCAGTTTCATCGACTGTCTGTGAAGGAATGTGTGCTCTTTGTACTAATTTGTTAATTGATGAAGCTCATCAGTTTTCCTCTTTTGGACAAAAATACTTATTTCCAGGGCTTACATTGATTTGGGGCTTTTTTCTTTTCTGGAATGGAGGGGGATTGGAGAATATAGTATTGATCTGCCTGTAAATGCGTTGTGTTCACCAGTCCATGTGCAGTGGAGCTAAAGCCCCTCCTCCGCCCACTCAGAAAGGGGAGAGCGTTTCCTGCCCCACATGTGGTCGCCGGAGTCGCCGGGAAGCGCGCTGCTGTGACTGGCATGGAGCCACGGTGCGTATTTGACTACGAAGCTGCTCGGTGCTGAGCACCTGACCAGCACCCGGAGGGAGCCAGCTCCTCCTCTGCCAGGGCCTCGCAGAGGTGGCTTCTTAGGATTTGGGTACAGGCACCTAGTTACCTAAGAATCTGGAGACACAGATAATTAATTCTCTTAAACTGAGAAAGGTCTCTCATTGCAGTTTTTTTTCTTAAAGATTGGCACCTGAGCTAACAACTGTTGCCAGTCTTCTTTTTTTTTTTTCTTCTTTCTGCTTTTTCTCCCCAAATCCCCCCAGTACATAGTTGTATATTTTTAGTTGTGGGTCCTTCTAGTTGTGGCATGTGGGACGCCGCCTCAGCGTGGCCTGACGAGCAGTGCCATGTCTGTGCCCAGGATCCAAACTAGCAAAACCCTGGGCCGCCACAGTGGAGTGTGCGAACTTAACCACTTGGCCATGGGGCTGGCCCCATCCAATCTTCTTTTTTTTTTCTCTTCTCATTACAGTTTTAATTTGGATTTCTTTGAGGTTAAACTTTTTCACTCATTTATTGACTATTGGCATTTCTTATTTTATGAATTGTTTGTTTACCTACCTTTTTAATAAAACACAAAAATATGTATTTATTTATTTGGATAAGTGTTGCATGTAAATTATACAAAAGGCTTATAGTGAAGGCGTGGTCTGTCTCCTCATCCCAGCCCCGCAGCTCCTCTCCCCAGAAGTGGTCACTGTTACCAGTTTCTGAGGTGTTATTTCAGCCATTCAATGTGTCAATAACTAAACTAGTAGTGAATATGAACACTGATGCAATTCTTTTTACCTAGCAATGCATCTTGTTAGTAACCTCTTCCTTCTTTTCGTTGGCTTCATAATATTCCACTGTCTGTCTGTACCATGATGTATTTTGGCCCTCCTCTGGTGCTGGACTTCTAGGTTGTTTCCAGTTATTTCCTTTAAAACCACAATCCTGCAGGGAATGGTCTTGAATATACTTCTTTGTGTACTTGTCCATCTACAGGATAAATTCTAGAAGGTAAAATTGCTGTGTCAGGGAGTGGGCATATGTTATTTTGGTGGCTGGAGATTGCATGGTGTGGGAGTAATTTATGTGGGGAAATTGTGACTCTAATATTCATGAGAACATAACAATATTTTCTGTCCTCTAGCCTGGCATTCCTGCTTGCTACTCTGTTTGCCCTAAATGTGAGGCCAGCAATCACCCATCTGCCCGGTTCTGTGGCTCCTGTGGTATTTATGTGAAGTCCTCGACCAGACTTAGTGTGGACAGCCACCTGGCTCTAGCTGCTGGAGAACCTGGCCCTTTTGCCGAGGTGAGACCTCCTCTGCAGTCAGAACTGGTGCCCAGGAAGAAGTTGTGACTCTGGACTTGTGTTCTCCACCCTGTGAATCAACCCAGGGAAAGAGAACCAAAACGTTCAGACCTTTTGCATGGACTTTCAACTAGGTGTATAAATAAATGAAATCAATTTAGGTTTTAAACACTTGAGTGATTTCTTCAGAAATCAAAGATCTATGCATTTATCTATAGTAGAATGAGGTCTAATTGCATCTGCAAGGCAATAGATATAATGTCCTTAGGGAGAGGTGGATTTAAACTACATAGGATAGAAAGTACTTCTCTTGAATTTCTTATGTGACGCACCAAGAACATTCCCCCCGACTCTTATATTTTAGAAAACTTACATCTGGTATATAAAATTGCTTTTGCCATTTACAGCAATTGGACAGTATGAGGAAAATCTCACAACATTGTTGTCAGAAGGACTTAATCTCTAATTGGCTTTGTGTTAGTCTTTTGTGAATTTCTCTAAGCTACATAAAGACTTTGCAGGTTTCTTTTCTTTTTTTTTTTGAGGAAGATTAGCCCTGAGCTAACATCTGCTGCCAATCCTCCTCTTTTTTGCTGAGGAAGATTGCCCTGAGCAAACATCCGTGCCCATCTTCCTCTACTTTATATGTGGGATGCCTACCACAGCAGGTTTGCCAAGCGGTGCATAGGTCCGCACCCAGGATCCGAACCGGCAAACCCCAGGCCGCCAAAGCAGAACGTGTGAACTTAACCGCTGCACCATTGGGCTGGCCCCTGCAAGTTTCTTCTTATCTCTTTGCTAGAAGAATTTGAAGATCGATAGTTATTAGAGAGACAGCACATGCACCCAGCCACTTTGCATTCATTTTTAGGTAGTTCATGGCCTTCTTAACCCATATTGAAAGACTTATGGACCCTGGGACCTTTGTGCAAATAAGACAAAGGTGTTCTTTCCTCAAGACGCTTGACTGCCATCTGTTGGAAATTGATTGTAATATACTAATTTTGTTAGAAAGACATTTTCTTCCATCTACCAGAAAAATTGTCCTCATAAATATGCAAATATATGATGTCTACCATGTGAATGGTACCCCTTTAGATGCAATGCTGTTGTGTAGTGCAACAGCCTACATAACCTTACGTGGTGGTCCTCTCAGGTCCGCAGGTCCAGGTGCAGGAGAGTCTCTCACAGAAAATGTTGGTGCCCAGTGACTGGGTGTGGATGAGTATTAAAGGCTATCTTCATTAGATTGTGGAGGTGAGAGAATAGCTACCACCCCGACCTCAGGCAGGAGAGGGAACATCAGTTATTTGCTGAATTTGAGACAGTAAATGGCCCAGGGGATAGGGCTGGCTTCGTAGATCAGGCTGAAAGTTGCTGGGAAAGACAGAAACAAGGAAGATGAGGCAAGGGCTGAAAACTCCTTTTTAGTTCAAAGTACAGTTTTGGGGAGATGATTTTCCTTCTGATTAGAATTGTTTTCTGTGAGTAACATGAAGAATTAATTATGTTCTGATATCTTATGTTTCTGCCTCACTAATAGCCCCGATCTGCCTGGCAGTCCCCAAATGTTTCTCTCCCCAAGCCTGATGCTGGGACCAAGAAGGATGTAGGAACACAGACCACTGGCCTGTTCTACCCATCTGGCAAGCTACTAGCCAAAAAGGAGCTGGAAATGGCTTCTCAAAAGCAGAGGCAGGAGAAAATGAGTGACCACAGACCTCTCCTCACAGCTGTCAGCCCAGGAAGAGGTGAGGAAAACGACGATTTCTCGTCAGGAGGGAACTCTTTCTCTGAAAGAAAATTTTGTTTTTTCTTCTTTTAGATTTGTTTTTATGTATAAGGAGTAAGTTCCTTTCTTTTTCTTTTTTCACGTAATTTTCCTTTGTGTGGATAACAGCTCTTCCCTAAACTTTTGGCACTCCGATGTTTTGACTCATAGCCCCCTTGTCTAGTTTGTAAATCAGATAGCACATATGGATTTCTACTATTATGGCAGAAATGTTGTTGGTCTGTGTTGTTATTGCTATCTGATATTATCTCTTTTTTTATTGCAGTAAAATCCACATAGCAAAATTCACCATTTTAACCATTTTAAAGTGTACAATTCAGTGACATTTAGTACATTAGCAATAGTGTACAACCATTACCACTCTCTTCGTCCAGACCATTTTCATCACCCCAAAAGTCAACCCTATTCTCTTTGAGCAGTCGCTCCCCACACCTCCTCTCCCAGGTGCTTGGCAGCCACGAATCTACCTTCTGTCTTTACAGATTTGCGTCTTCTGGACGCTTCATATTAATGGAAGCATATAATATCTGGTCTTTTGTGACTGGCCTTCTTTCACTTAGTATAATGTTCTCAAGGTTCATCCGTGTTTTGGCATGTTTTAGTACTTCATTCTTTTTTTAAAGCTGAATAATATTCTATTGTTAGCATATATGACATTTGGTTGATCTCTTCATCAGTTGATGGACATTTGAGTTTTGTCTACCTTTTGGCTGTTGTGAATAATGCTGCTGTGAACATTCACGTGTAAGTTTTTCTGTAGACGTGTTTTCATTTTTCTTGGTTATATCCATAGGAGTGCAATTGCTGAATCAAATGGTAACATTATGTTTAACTTTTTGGGGAACTTCCAGACTGTTTTCCAAAATGGCGGCACTATTTTCCATTCTGACCAGCAGTGTATGAGGGTTCTGATTTCTTTACATCTTTGCCAACTCTTGTTATTATCTTTTTTGTTATAGTCATCCTGGTAGGTGTGAAGTGGTATTACATTATGGTTTTAATTAGCATTTCCCTGGTGACTAATGATGTTAAGCATCTTTTCATGTGCTTGTTGGTCATTGGTATATTTTCTCTAGAAAAATCTGTATTCAGATCCTTTGTCCAGTTTTTTTCTTTTTTGGCTGAGGAAGATTTGCCCTGAACTAACATCTGTGCCAGTCTTCCTCCACTTTATATATGGATTGCCGCCACAGCATGGCTGATGAGTGGTGTATGTCCATGCCTAGAATCCAAACCTACAAACGTGGGTCACTGAAGCGGAGTGTGCTGAACTTAACCACTATGCCGAGGAGCTGGCACCCTTTGTCCATTTTTTAACTTGGTTTTTTGTCTTTTTGTTATTGAGATATAAGAGTTCTTTATATATTCTGAATACTAGACTCTTACCAGATATAGAATTTGCAAATATTTCCTACCATTCTGTAGGTTGTCTTTGAACTTTTCTATGTCCTATGAAGCACAAAAGCTTTAAATTTTAAGTCAAAATTTTTTTTCTTTTGTTGCTTGTGTTTTTCGTGTCATATCTAAGAATCCGTTGCTGAATTCAGGTCACCAATATTTACCCCATCTTTTCTTCTAAGATTTTTAAAGTTTTAGCTCTCACATTTAGGTTTTGGGTCCATTTTGAGTTAGTTTTTGTATATGGTGTGCAACTTCATTATTTTGCAGGCAGCTCTCCAGTTGTCCCAGTACCGTTTGTTGAAGAGATGATTCTTTCCCTGTTGAATGGTCTTGGCGCCCTTGTCAGAAGGCAGTTGGCCATAGATACATGGGTTTATTTCTGGACTTTCAATTCTATTGCACTGATCTATATGTCTATCCTTATGCCAGAACCACACCGTTTTGATTACTGTTGCTTTGTAGTAGATTTTGGAATTGAGAAGTGTAAGTCTTCCAACTCTGTTCCTCTTTTTCAAGATTCTTTTGGCTATTCTGGGTTCTTGAGTTTCCGTATGAATTTTAAGATCAGCTTGCTGATTTCTACAAAGAGGCTAACTGGGATTCTGATAGGGGTTGTGTTGACTCTACAGATCAGTTTGGGGAGTATTGCTATCTTAACAATATTAAGCCTTCCAATCCACAAAACATGGGATGTATTTCCAATTATTTAGATCTTTAATTTTCTTCAATAGAGTTTTGTAGGTTTAAGACTGTAAGTTTTGTACCTCTTTTTTTTTTTTAACTTTATTCTTAAATATTTTATTGTTTTTGATGTTATTGTGAATAGAATCTTTTCCCAATTTTATTTTTGGACTGTTTGCCGCAAGTGTATTTTTGTATATTGATCTTATATTTTACAACTTTCTAAACTTCTAAAATTAGTTCTAATAGTTCATTAGTAGATTCCTAGAATTTTCTATATACAAATCGTGTCATCTGTAAATATAGTTTTACTTCTTACTTTCTAGCCTGGATGACCTTTATTTCATTTTCTTACCCAATTTCCCTGGTTAGAACCTCCAGTACAATGTTAAATAGAAGTGGTGAGGCAGGAATCCTTGTCTTGTTCCTGATTTTAGGCGAAAGCATCCAGTCTTTAACCATTAAGTATGATATCATCTGTGGATTTTTCATAGATGCCCTTTCTCAAATGAAGGAAATACCTTCCTATACCTAATTTTTGAGTATGTTTTATTTTTTTTATCATGAAAGCATTTGGCCTTTGTCAGATGCTTCTCTGCCTATATTTAGATGATCATGTGATTTTTGCTTTTTATTCCATTGATGGTGTTTTACATTAATTGATTTTCAGAGGTTAAACTAACCTTTCATTCCTGGGATAAACCCCACTTAGGCATGTTGTATAGTTCTTTTTGTAGGTTTGTGGGTTCAGTTTGCTAATGTTTTGTTGAAGATTTTTATGTCTATATTCATAAAAGAGATTGGTCTTCAGTTTTCTTTCTTTGTGATGTCTTTGTCTGGTTTTGGTATCAGAATAATACTGGCCTATAGTTTTCTCTCCTCTTCTATTTTTTGGAAATGCTTATGAAGAATTGATATTAACTCTTCCTTAAATGTTTGGTAGAATTCATCTGTGAAGCCACTTGGACCTGAATTTTGTCTAATGGGTAATTTTGATTACTAATTCAATCTCTTTACTTCTTATAGGTCTATGTAGATTTTCTATTTCTTGTTGAGTCAGTTTTGGTAGTTTATATATTTCTAGATATTTGTCCATTTCATCTGAGTTATCTAATTTATTAGTATACAGTTGTTCATAGTTTTCCTTCATAATCCTTTTTATTTCAGTAAGGTTAATGTTAATTTCCCTATTTCATTTCTGATTCTAATAATTTGAGTGATTTCTCTTTTTCTTGGTCGATCTAGAGAAGAACCAACTTTTGGTTTTGTTGATTTTCTCTATTGTTTTTTTATTCTGTTATTTTTTTCATTTCCACTCTAATCTTCATTGTTTCCTTCTTTCTTCTTACTTTATGTTGAGTTTGCTCTTCTTTTTCTGGTTTCTCAAGGTCAAAAGTTCAAGTCTTGATTTGAGATCTTTCTCTTTTTTTAATTTTTTAATTTTTTAATTAATGTTATGATAGATTACAACCTTGTGAGATTTCAGTTGTACATTTTTGTTAGTCATGTTGTGGGTACACCACTTCCCCCTCTGTGCCCTCCCCCCACCCCCCCTTTTCCCTGGTAACCACCGATCAGATCTTCTTATCAATATACTAACTTCCACCTATGAGTGGAGTCATACAGAGTTCGTCTTTCTCTGTCTGGCTTATTTCACTCAACATAATATCCTCAAGGTCTATCCATGTTGTTGTGAATGGGACGACTTTGTCCTTCTTTATGGCTGAGTAGTATTCCATTGTGTATATATATATACCATATCTTTATCCAATCATCAGTTGCTGGGCACTTACGTTGGTTCCATGACTTGGCTATTGTGAATAATGCTGCGATGAACATAGGGGTGCATGGGACTTTTGGAATTGCTGATTTCAGGTTCTTGGGATAGATACCCAGCAGTGGGATGGCTGGGTCATAAGGTATTTCTATTCTTAACTTTTTGAGGAATCTCCATACTGTTTTCCATCGTGGCTGCACCAGTTTGCATTCCCACCAACAGTGTATGAGAGTTCCTTTTTCTCCACAGCCTCTCCAACATTTGTCACTCTTGGTTTTGGATATTTTTGCCATTCTAACAGGTGTAAGGTGATATCTTAGTGTAGTTTTGATTTGCATTTCCCTGATGATTAGTGATGATGAGCATCTTTTCATGTGTCTATTGGCCATCCGTATATCTTCTTTGGAGAAATGTCTGTTCCTGTCCCCTGCCCATTTTGTAATTGGGTTGTTTGATTTTTTATTGTTGAGTTGTGTGAGTTCTTTGTATATCATGGAGATTAACCCTTTGTCAGATAAATAACTTGTAAATATTTTTTCCCAATTAGTGGGCTGTTTTTTTGTTTCAATCCTGTTTTCCCTTGCCTTGAAGAAGCTCTTTAGTCTGATGAAGTCCCATTTGTTTATTCTTTCTATTGTTTCCGTCATGTGAGGGGTTATGGTGTCCGAAAAGATTCTTTTGAAGCTGATGTCAAAGAGTGTACTGCCGATATTCTCTTCTAGGAGACTTATTGTTTCAGGCCTAATCTTTAGGTCTTTGATCCATTTTGAGTTTATTTTAGTAAATGGTGAAAAAGAATGCTTGATTTTCCTTCTTTTACATGTGGCTGTCCAGTTTTCCCAGCACCATTTGTTGAAGAGACTTTCTTTTCTCCATTGGAGGCCCTCAGCTCCTTTGTCAAAGATTAGCTGTCCATAGATGTGTGGTTTTATTTCTGGGCTTTCAATTCTGTTCCATTGATCTGTGCATCTGTTTTTGTACCAGTACCATGCTGTTTTGATTACTGTAGCTTTGTAGTATGTTTTGAAGTCAGGGATTGTGATGCCTCCAGCTTTGTTCTTCTTTCTCAGGATTGCTTTAGCAATTTGGGGTCTTTTGTT